GATGGAATCTAGTCCATGTTTGGCTCTATTAAAATTATAATTCATTTTTTCATCTTTTCTTATCAATCACATATTTTTCAATAATATAATATTACGCATAAAATAAAAAAATTTCTTTTTTTTTAAAACCCAATATTCTCAAAAAAATTATTATTTCAAAATACATTTTTTTTTTTCAAATTCTCATTATAATGGGGGCCAAAGAAGGACTTAATTGACTAATATTATCTAGCATAATTGGTCCTATAACATAAATTTAGATACCACTGTTAGACTCAATAAAATGTAAAGTTAAGCAATGTCATGTTAACCTCACTCAGACAAATATTTAAATAGCACTACTATATCTAATTTAATTCCTATTACGTTGGAAAATAAAAACATTTCGAATTGTCAAAACGCAGGTTTCCATTTCAGACCAATAAAAATGGATAAACACCACATCACGAATCCCCGTAAAATCCACCCAACTATTTTTTACAATTTTATAATATGGAGATAGAGAGAAAATTCAATTCATTATGGACCGTTCAGCGATTCCATGTTATAGTGGCCGTGGGTTTTGGACTCTTCTGACATCGCACTTTGATTCCCATTCACTCCCCCTTGCACACCTTTTCACGTCGCACTTTCAGAAATTTTGACCTGCCCAAGATCGGTGGAAAACCGGCTGATTTTGAGCTGTTTTATTGGATAATGGTCAATATAATGAACGGCGAAAGACGGACCGGTGTGGAAGAGGAGTTCATCAGAAGACATCACAAGCATGAGGTTGGAGAAAATCAATGTAGTTCGTCATTGGTTAAGCACATCAAAGCTCCTGTTCATCTTGTAAGTCAATTTTTCAACTTTGTAACACAGATATTTTTATAATTCCGGTTGTCAAATTCGTGAGCTAATTTGATAAGTTGGAGAGGTTTTTGGATGTTATTGTTGGTACAGTTCATCAATTGGTTTGATTTTGTACATGCAACAATTTTTTAATCCCAGTTCTACATCTTTTGAGCGAATTTGAGAGATTTTGGTTTGTTAATGTTGGTACAGTTAACCAATTGTTTGATTTTTATTGATATGTGACAAATTTTAAATCCCAGTTCTACATCTTGTGAGGTAACTTGATGAATTGAAGAGATTTTTGGCTTATAGTTGGTATAGTTACCGATTGGTTTGATGCTGTATTGATGTGTGACAAAGTTTTAGTTCCAGTTCTAAATCTTTTGAGCTAATTTGATAAATTGGTGAGAATTATGACTTTTATTATTAGGCCAATTATTCCAATTGGTTTGGTTCTCAATCTGGAAACATATCTCCACAACAAGGCCCTTTGTCTGCCTGAAACCAGTGGGAGCAAGCTAGCCCCTGTGTTGGTAGGAGGAAGGGCTTTTCCAAGGCAAAAGATTCAACCAGCCACAGGTTTCCTATGGCTACCCTGTTACGACTCCACCCCAGTCGAAGACTTTCTTGTTTTCCCTTTTCAGTGACAAGGGGGGTGAGTCGCACCAAGCCAAACGTGATAGTGAAGCAGTATGCAATATGAGAATCATAGGTAGAAGGGGAAATGGAAGAAAAGGGGAGAAAGGAGGGAGAAATAGAAGAAGAGGGAAAGGTAGGAGGGAGGTAGAAAGGGGTGAAGAATTAGAGAGATGGAAGAGAAGTTGGGAGAGAAAATATCAATCTTTATTTCATTTCAATGTTATTTTATTACATCGCCATAACCCCCTTTATATGTGGTTTCAAAAATAGTAAAGAAATGCTATAAAAAATATTAAATCACACTCTAATCATGTTTTCTAAAATACGAATCAAAATAGGAAACTAAATAAATAATTATCTCCTATAATATTGCATCAGATAGTGAATCCCAAATTTGCCCACGCTCAATCCAAGCGGGCTCGAAAAGCGAAGCCCTTCCTTCCAATCCAAGATTTACGCAACTTTTTTCACTTGTTTCTGTCCTAATTTGATGAGTTGGAGAGATTTTTGGCTTTTTATTATTAGGCCAAATTCACCAGTTTGTTCGATTTATATGACAATTCTTATTTTTTTCCCCTTTTTTTTTGTATGTTGGGATGCTTGTTACATAGTGTTTTGACTTTTAATTTTCTATAGGTGTGGTCCTTGGTGAGGAGATTTGATCAGCCACAAAGGTACAAGCCATTCGTGAGTACTTGCATAGTGCAGGGTGATTTGCAGATAGGAACTGTTAGAGAAGTAAATGTGAAGTCGGGACTTCCAGCTACCACTAGCAAAGAGAGATTGGAGCTTCTAGATGACGAGGAACACATCTTTAGCATGAGGATTGTGGGTGGGGATCACAGGCTAAAGGTATCAATCAATCAGCTCGATTCGTTTCGAATATTGATTGTGGTTTAAAGTTAAAATTGCAGTATGCTTTGGCATATTGATATGATCTTGTTTTTATATGGTAAAAAATTATATATGTGAAATTCGGGTTGGAGAGGGATTATCTACATTTTAATCCTTCAATAAATGAAACCTTTACAATTTAGCAAATTACTTTGCTAAACTGCTTGTCCAGTTCCTGAATTTCTTTATCATAATTTCAACTTGATTGACTAATTGAATAACAAATAACGTCTATGGTTTATACTTTTGTTTCACATTGAATTCAGAATTATTTTTTTTCACGTTGTCTGTTTTTGAATTACCTTAAGTTAGTAAATAGATAAGGTTATGGATTATGAACTAGTTGGTAAGTATGGATGTAAAACCCTGAAAATAATCCTTGCAAGAGGTATTTTAGATGCTCCAAGGAAGTAAATATTCCTAGAGAGATTCTTTTGAGAATGTTTTTTCATCTGGTTTGTGATATAATCATTTTTTCACGTAAAGTGTAATATTATACGTGCTTCATTTTGTCTTATTTTGACAAACAGTTGGAGATGGGTTCTCTTTGCATTGAAAATGCCATACAGATTCTTGCCTGCGCTCTCTCTTGGTTGGTCCCTTTTAAAGAATGGTGATGAAATTTCTGATACAGCGTCACTAAGCATTTGGCTTAATTCTTTATTGTTAATTTCTTAGTCTTATATTTTCATTTCCATATTGAGCTAAGTTGAGAGGTATTGAGGTGAATTAATAGAGTTTTATATTGTTGGAGTGGTTATCCACAGGGGAGGATCCTATAGCCAGCCCAATCTTCAGATTACATTTTGTTTCCTTCTTTTACAATAAAATGGCCCAAATCATAAAAACGATTTAGCCCCTAGAAGTCCATGTCTAGCCTAACTCTAAATTTTGGCTCATCCTATCACGAAGTTCTATGTCCTCCCTTGGTTATCCAGGAAATTCAATTAGATACTTGATCAAATCATTTCTAGTTTGCCAAGATTTGTTAGCTTCATCATTTGCTGACTGATCTGATACATTTTTATCCCGTTTCTGCTTCAATAATTTTGTAGAACTACTCTTCCATTGTCACTGTTCATCCTGAGATCATTGATGGGAGGCCGGGGACGATGGTGATCGAGTCATTTGTTGTTGATGTGCCTGATGGAAACACCAAAGATGAAACATGTTACTTCGTTGAGGCCTTTATCAAGTGCAACCTCAAGTCACTGGCTGATGTTTCCGAGCGTTTAGCCATTCAGGACCGAACAGAGCCAATTAGTAGAGTTTGAGCACAATGAAATTCGAAGCTTTGGGTCCCAATCAGCTTGACAGAACACCGTACTAGCGAGTAGAGAGACTGGTACTTTGCCAGTCCTTCTCGGTCTTTATATTATATGCTTCGTTTTCGTCAGTCATAAGGTGGTGTGTGCTTGTTGCTTTTGTTGCTTGTGATCTGTCTTGTTATTCGACCCGTCGTTTCTTGAATGAAGACCATCCATTTCATTTGTTATATGGACCTCCTTATGAGATTGGATTGTAAATATAGAAGGCTTGGAGACAACGCTTTGTTTGGGAGGTTTTAATTATTATGCTTTGGATTAAGTCATGTAATTATTACACGTTTGTGTGGTACACTGTATTCGATGGAACTAAAAATTAGCGTTAACATAGAAAGATAAACTAAAATCTTGTGTATTATACCTTTCAGTTCTGTGCCAAACATGCCCTTCAAAAATAACACTGCAATGTTATGTACCTTGCTTATATTCTAAGAATTTAGATGTTAATCTTAGGTGGAATATACCAAATTCAAGTTATGGTATATTACTTTGAATGGAACACGAACATTTATGATCAATTTATCTATTTGGAATAGCGATATCAATGGTCAATTTATCGAGATTACGTCAGAAGTTATTCATGCTCAAATTAGTTGATTGGAAGAAATTGAGATGGGATTTTTGTATGTAACGGCTAAGGCTGGACAAAACTTTCGAACCGAATCCGGAAATCGAACTGAATCGAAACGAGCTGTTATTCATAAGTTAAATACCCGATCGGGTATCTGAATTGAGAACCGATGGATTTGATTCGGTTCTAGACCTAGAACTAAAAAATCGAATAAGAATCGAATTTAAATAATTTTTAAAATTTTTATATTGAATTAATTAAAAAAATTTAGTTTTTTATAAACAAATTAGTAAATTAACTAATTTAGTGATTAATGTTCCAAGTTCTAACTCCCAATTCAAGTCCATGTCTAGTTAGTTCAACTCAATCCAATTTTTAAATTCAATTTTTTGGTCATATTATTAATTTTATTTTTAACCCAAAATCTAAGACTTTTTAAATTTATATCATTCTCTTTCAAATTTCAAACTTTCATTTGGTAACCACCGAATTAATGACCTCAAATCATTTGATAAATTGAAAATCTACCTATACATACCCAAATCAAAATCGACGACTGTCGAGTCCGACTTCTTCTCTCAATGCCCATCAAAGTCGCGATCTCCTACCACGATCACCGATCGTTAACCATTAGAAATTTGTTAAAAAAAATTAACTATAGTACGAAATCGAACTGAACCGAACACAAAAACGGTTCCATAATTATATTTGGGCCATACGACTTCATTTACTAAATATCTGAAAATTTTAGTTCGGTTCGATTCGGTTATTTTTAGAACCGAACCGAATCGGATTATGTCCAGTCCTAATAACGGCCGTCTAAGTATGCAAATGAATTCCTATGCTTAGAGTATCTTTAAGAAATTCTCTATTTATAAAGAGTATATTTAAATTTAAAGAGTAAATTTTTTTATATACACCAACAATGTTTTTTTATTTTGACTCTTCATTTTATTTTTATTAAGAAACATTTATTGATTTTTTGCATCTTTTATCTAACTTTTTTTTTTTAAATGTTAGTAGCCAATTAATTCAAATATGATATGAGTCATTTAAAAAATGGAGTATAGAGATTTGTAGCATTAAGCGTTTGTTTGAGCTCTATCATCGAAACATTTTTTTTCGACCTCATTTGCAACTATACATTCTTTCAATAAAATATTTTTGCACGTAAATTTTAAATTTTTTTCCTACTTTGTAATTACACTTTCTCCAAAAAATCACTATTACAAAATTCATTCTCCTGAAAAATGGGGTTCAAACAAAGTAAAAATTTTGAGAATTAAATTCTCTCTTAAAACTTATTTTTAAGTATTGACTTTTTAAAATAGAGAAACTTATATTTAGAAAGTATCTTGGAAATGCTTTTAAATCTACGTGGAGTAGTGATTTATAAATAAAAATTCATGTAAAATCTATTTGATTTAATAAATTATTTCCTTAATGAATTCCTTCGATGGGAAAATTAAGATTTAGCTTTTCCAACCTTTTCATGTAGTATGGTCATGGTTCTCTAATCTTTAGAAGTTGAGTTTTGGTACCTTAACCTATTTAAATCTACGTGTGTGGCTCCATGAGATAGCAGATTTACATGACTTTTACGGGGCTATAGATAGCAGATTTTGGAGGGGTAGTTGATGGGAAGACGATGAACACGAAAGCCTTCAAGGAAGCTATATATAGGATCGAGCATTTGAACGTGGAAGGATGCACACTGCTTTACATATCTTCTGGCCAATGGGAGCAGGGCATCTACGAACAAGTTGGGCAAGACTTGACTATAGGTCTGTAATGGTGCGTGGCTGGACGGGGCGACTCGGCTCGACCCATTTATGTTAATTGTGCACAGATTTAGACAAGCATATAAACATATTCAACACAGGGTTTGGCATCCATTTGGAGACAAATATCGGTAGGTGAAGGGTTATAAACATTATAATCTTAAATTGCCTCTTCCCACAGTAGACTTCTTTCATTTTCGATTTGGTATGCGAGAGCAATACCTCATCGATCAAGAAAGATACTTTAGAGTTCCAAACTAGTGAATTTGTTAGCGATTTATAATATGCGTGTTACATAATTGTATGACGATCTTGGCACGAGTAAAACGCAAGTCCGCACAACAAAAACCATTTATATATCACATATAAAGTAGCATCCCAAAAAAAAAATCGCAAATTAAAATTTTATGACAATAAAAGCATACAACATTAACTGACAATACATCATTCAACATCTCAACCGGATGCAAGACAACATTAACATTAACACAAGATCATTTATTTATTTTATTTTCTATATGGCTGATCTATATACTAGGTAGGTGAATCAAAATCTAGAAATAAAGATCTAAAAACTTGCGCATGCTCTTCATCAAACCATTACTTTTCGTTTTCTTCTCATCCTTTGCTCTCTCATTTTCACCACCAAAATGTTTCTTCCACTTCTTTTCTCTGTTCAGTCGATCAACGTTCTTACGTTTGAACACGATCCTCGTAACCCTGCCGTCTTCGTCGTCGTTTTGGTTTTGGTGTTGGTGGTGCAGTCTCACCCACCGGCCGGGAATCCGCCGTACGCCACGGGAAGTTGGTGGTTCCTCAAAGTCACTGTTTTCACCGGAGGAAACGAGCATATCATCACCGTAGGGAATCTCTAAGCGTTCCCTCCTTTCCTTGGAATTCATTTTGAAGAAGTCGTCACGGTTTAGATGGTAGTGGTGGCGGCAGTTGTGGACGGGATACTTCGTCCTCGAATAGAACCGGCGGTTGATCGGACGGAATCTAGAGGTGGCCAGATCCAACGGTACAGAGTGAACGGTCAAAGAATCAGGTTCAATTGGGTGGTTGCTTTCGCCGGCGTTGAGAATCTTTGAAATAGGGACGTGAATAACGGAGCTCTCGTCGTCGAGAGATAGGGATTGAGATTCAGAGGTGATGTCGCCATCTTTTTCCAGTGGTTTGAGTGGGGATCGGGCGAGTGTGAGGGTGAAAAGGATGAATAACACGGCGGCGGTGGCGTAGAATTTGGCCATGGTGACTGGTTTTTTTCTCTCTTTCTTTTACCAAGGGAAATGGTGTGGTAAAATTGATATAAAATGGGGTGGAAAGTGAGTATATTTGGGGAGTTCGGGCAGGTCCTTGGAGTAAGGAAAGGACAAACGGGCAAAGGGATTGACCATCCACGTGTTGGGCAGAGGAGGTGGGATCTGAGTCGTAGGATGTTAGGTTGACTTTGAATAATTGTTTTTCTCATTATTATTTTGTAAATTAATGGATTTACATGAGCCAATATACAATGGGCTTCAGTTCACATTATTGAGCCACTTGTAATTCTAATATGGGCTTAACCAATGGGCTGAACGTTAGTCAAAGTGGAAAGGTAAAGGGCAAAAAAGAGAGGAAATTACACCCAATCCTAGTTTTAGATTTCCATTTTCACAAATCAAGAATAAAGTTTCATAATACAAAAATTAGGTTTTAATTAATAATTTAATCTTTATTTATTTATTTTTATTTTTATATTTTTATATCTATATACAATATAAATTAATTTATATACCTCCATACCATACCAAACCCTAAAATAAAACACCTCTCCACTCTCTCTGCTTAAACGTCGCCGTCGCCGCCTCCACGACAACCGGCGGTTCTTCCCATCGCCGGAGAAATAATTGCTGCTGCCTCGACCCTCTCTCTTCCCTCTCCGTCGCGACGGCTAGTCCCATTATTCTCTCCTCGTGTCGCTCTCTTCTCCCTCTCCGCCGCGAAGGTCGTCGGCTTTTTCCCTTCCATCCCATTCTCTCATCCCCCTCTGCGTTCGTAAAAACCATCGCCCAATCAATCTAAACCATCAGTCAATCGGAATCCTCCTCATAGCGGTGGCGGAAACTGAAAAATTCGAAACCTCCCTGGCCATGGCGACGCCGAAGCCGATTAAACCTAACAGGCGCGCCGGATTTGTAAAAAATCCGACACCTTCGTTCTCTGGCTTCTCTCCCTCACTGCGTTTTTCGCGCACCCAAATTGTAATTTTTTTAAGTTTTCGAGTTTGATGTATTGGATGGTTGTGGTGGTTGCAGATCCGTTGGGAGGGTTTTTTTCACAGCAGATCTGTCGCGAACGGTAGTGGTTTTTGATGGTCTTTATCACAGATCTGTTGTATTTTTGTGGTTTTTGTTCACAGATCCGACGGCGATGGTGGTGATAGCCATCCGACGGCGGTGGTGGTCTTTTGTGTGGTTGGATGCGTCGGTGGTGGGTGTTTTTTGTGTGGTGGTAGTGGTGTTTTGTGTGGGTGTTGGTTGTTGCGACGGTGATGTTGGTACTGGTTGCCGTGAGGTGGCGGGGATTTTGTGGCTGGGGCGGCGACGGTAATGGTTATTGTTGGTTGTATGTGACCAAGTATTTGGTTATTTGAGACCAAAAATTTATTAATTGTGACCTAAAAATTATTAATTTGTGACCTAAAAAATATTAATTGTGACCAATAAATTGATAAATTGTGACCTAAATAAGTATTGTGACTTATAAATTTTGGGATCTGTGATCAATGAATAAATTGTGACTTTGACATTTCTAATTTGTGACAAATGAACAAATTGTGACCGACGAAAATTTTGAATTGTGACTTAAATTTTTTTGAATTGTGACCAAATTGTATAGATCTGTGACCTTAACAAATTCGTCGGAATCGGGTCAGTTGTCGAAAAAGTCGTCGGAGCGGTCGTCGGAGAAGAGTGGTGACCGGAAAGGTCGCCGGAGTATCCCCGAAGTTGTAGGGACGGTGGAGATGGGGGTGTGTTAATTATTTTTATAGTAGAATTAAATATTAATAATAAATTAATTTAATAATTATTATTTCATAATTAAAAAATTAATAAAACCTGATTTTTGAATTTTGAAACATGTTTTGGTATTTTTGAAATGGGTAAAAGTAAAGACAGGATTTATGTATTCTTCCCAAAAAAAAATCATAAATCAAGCTTTAAGTTTCACAAATGCAAAAATCAGGTTTTAAGTTTAAAAATGCAAAAATCAGGTATTAAAAATATTTTTATTAATTAAATATAATAATATATAATTAATGGTCACATATACATAATTATAGGTCACAACTTTTATTGGTCAAATATTATCAAATTAATTAGTCAGAGATTATTTCGATATCACAAATCAAAAATTTTATAGGTCACAATTTATTTCGTTGGGCACAGATCAAAAAAATTATTGGTCATAGTTTATCAAATTTTAAGGTTACGGTTAGTCACAGAGAACAAAATAGTTGGTCACATACACCAAAAAACCAACTCCCAATCCCGATCCACCACTAATACTTGGTCACAAACCATATTTGAATCCATTACAATCAGCATCAACACCACCACCACACCCCGCAACACCATTACCACGACTCCACTCCGCTACTGCACACACACCCATAGCACAAGCCGATGCATTATTGAATGTTCATACCCAAACTCAATATGTTTTGCAATTATCCTTGCCCACTGCACACACACCCGCAACACCGTCGGTCTGAAAGATTGCTGCGGACTGAACAAAGCGGCACTCAGTTTAACAGTGGTTTTCTTGATTTCAATTTAGGTCAAAATGATTTCTTTACCAACGAAAACGAGATCAGATTTATTTCAGGCTGAATTTTTCGAAGGATTCGCTGCTGTGCTGTCGTGACGTTGTGAATGGCAGCGTCGCTCACAGAGAGAGAGAGAGAGAGAGAGGGAAATGTAGAGGAGAAGAGAGGGAGGAATGGATGGAGGAATTGATAAAATTATAGTTAATAATAAGAATTATGTTACTCAACCATTTTGGATTACTCGACCCCACCTCATCCCTCACATGGAGGTCCGGTCCCACATCCAATAAATGCGTGGGACCCAACCCCCATGTGAGGGAGGTGGTGGGCCCGAGTAATCCATAGTGTAATTCAAAGGGTACACGTAGCAAGACCCTAATAATAATAGGTTTAATATTAATTAAAATATAAAATTATTACCCAATTTTTGAATAATTAAACTTTAAACCTGATTTTGGGAGAGATGGGGAGAATTGAGGAATTGATAAAATTATGGTTAATAATATTAAGTTTAATATTAATTAAAATATAAAATTATTACCTGATTTTTGAATAATTAAAATTTAAAATGATTTTTTTTAAAATCATTCTTTAAACACCTGATTTTTTGTAATTTCCTCGAAGGTAAAGGGATAACTTACAAAAATACCCTTCAAATTAAGACTATTTTGAAAAATCATATGAAAAATACTTTGAAATTAAAATTACCTTGTAAAATTAACTGTCATTTTTTAAAGTTAAGTATCACTTGTTTAGATCCAATGTCACTTTTATTAAAAATTAATGTTTATCTTTTTTTTAATTAATTTTTATTCATAATAAAGGCCTCACTTGTGGCGGAGGAAAACCGAGATTACATTAAGAGACTAGAATCCATACAATTCAACTTCTAAGGTATGGTAGTTCCAAACTATCCGTATGTAAATTCCTCTAAGTAGTACCGGAACCTCATCTCCAAAAGATAAGTTAAAAGATGCACCACTGCTGCAATTTTTTGCAAGGAGATCAGCCGCCATGTTGGCCTCACGGAACACGTGCTGGACTTGAGCATTAAGTAATCGGATCAGCTCCAAAATTTCTTCCCAAAATTCCTAAAGCCACCATAAAGAGTAGGTGCTTTTATACACCCATTGTACCACTATATTAGAGTCGGTTTCAACAATGATGTCCCTAATTCCAAGGTAGGGACACATACGTAAACCGTCAAGAAGAGCTCGGGTTTTCGCTGCCATATTTGTGCAGAAGCCATAGTGGCGAGAAAATCCAGCCCAACATCTTCCCTCGCTGTCCCGTAAAACTCCTCATCTACCGGTAGAACTTGGATTTCCTCAAGATGCGCCATCAACATTTAATTTCAGTTGTCGACCCGCCGATTTCTTCCAGCTGATCAGTTTCACCGTTCTCTTTTTAGCATAATTTATTGGACAGTTCAAGGAGCGCGAACAAGAGACGTCACGGCCTGAGATTTTACTGACCTTGGTGATTAATCCAACAACCTGGGAAAGCATTGATTTGGTCTGCCACACGATTTTCTGCCATGAAATGGGGTGTCCCTCCATTCTAGCTTTACACCTGGTTTTCCATAATTCCCATGTGATAATAAGTGGTGCTATGTCGTGAAGAACTCCCGCCTGTGAGGAGCTAGGAACATATTTCCACCATAAATTCAGCATCCCTTTCCAGGTATTAACACAGGGAAGAGAAAGATTGAAGTGGGATGCAAAATAAGACCAAGCTTTTTTTTTTGTGATTTCCCCATTACATAAAACATGGTCTATGGTTTCCACCGAAGGGCTAGCACAGCATTCGCATTTTAAGGCCAATGGGATCCCAATATTTTGGATCACCTCGTCAACAGATAAGCAATTTAGGCGAGCACTCCAAGAAACAAAGAAATTTTTCGGGGAATTTGGTTGTGCCACAGCCAACACTTCCATGAACACCGCATTCCCTTTTTTCGAATCAATTCCCACGCCGATTTAGTGGAGAAGGAACCATCCTTGTTGGGTTTCCAGATATAATGAATGCGCTATCCAGTACGTTTTATGTGCACACATTCGATAGCCATTGCTTGATTTTTGTACAGTAATTCCCTAAGCCGAGTTCCATTCCAATTGCCGTCGACGTCAAGAGATCTTTAATCTATAGTTTTGGTTCCTTAACTTCCAAACCTGACTCGGCCAAGCTTTGAAAACCAGTCCAATTATCATACCAGAAGTTTGAAGAGCCATCCCGAACATGGTAAAAAGGGTTTTGCAACACAATTTGCAATGCCGGGGCCATCCCTTTCCAAAACCGAGAGTGCATAGGAGAAATTTTCAGCAACGCTACAGGATTATTTTTCATGTATTTAGCTCGAAAAAATTCTGATCAAAAGGATTTACCAACCAACAACTTCCACGCAAATCTCATAAATAAAGCCAGTTGAACTTCGCCAAA